GGGCGAGCCGTGCCGGAGCAGCGAGGCGACCACGCTCTGCGCAGCGGCGTCCGGGCCTCGGGGTCTCCCGCCCGCCCGCCGTCTCGGCTGATGCTGAGGGTCCGTCCCCATCCCGGGCCGAGGGGACCGGCCGGGGCGCCCAGCCGGGCCGGGGGCCGGAGCCCGAGCCTGAGCCAGCGCTCGCGGCGCTCGTCAGAAGTTAAGGTAAGCAGGGCCACAATCGGCCGCTCTCAGCGCTGAATGGTGGAGTTTACGTCTCGGTGATTTATGGCTGCAGACTTAAATCTCGGTTCAAGAAGAGTTCACAGGCCGGAGCTTCCTTCCCGGCAGTGACTGATACCCTTACACTTCGAGTTCAGGCCGCTTTCCCATCCCCACCCCCACTCTTGCTCTCCCCTCAGCCCAGCCTCAACTTTTCTGGGTCGGGGAGGAAGGAGTGCACAGGGGGTGCGTGGGCTTTTCCTCGACCTCCTGCTCAAAGGCTCAAAGTCGGGGTGAAGGCTAGCTAAGAAGGGGAGGAAGTGGAAAGGAGAGGTTTCTGGACCAAGGAGGTCGAATTTGGGCACACCTTGTAGAGAGACAATAGGGCTTGCTTCTTGCATTCAGTTTAGTCCCTCCACTCTCTTTCAGATCTTGCATCTGGGGGTTATTGTCCAGAAACAGATCATTGCCAAGGAATCTTCCTCCACCCCCAGCCTTTGCTTAGGAGTATAAAGCAAAGTTTCCTGGCTGGCAAATCTCTAACTTCTTTACTAGGTTGCAAACTTTGGAGCCAATTCTGGGGAAATTCTGCGAGCTCCAAGGTGATTGCTGTCCCCAAACAATAGAAAAGATTTTGGTGGAATCTCTGAGTGGAAGTCATATTTTAATTTTATATGGTTGTTGTATGCTCTTTGATTTTTAAGGATATTTTTTGTTATTCTACAACACAATGCAAACTTGATGAAAGGTTTAAGTAAGCATCGGACTGGTGTAGCCTGTGACAATAGATTACCAAGTCACTAGAAATTTTGCATGTTCAAAATCTAGTTGATTTTGTTTTATCTAATATCTTGCTGTTCAAGTGTCTAGAGTAGTTTTCTTGATCTGACATTTTATTTTATACAGTATAAGTTTAGTATCTAAAAATTTTATAATGGCAGATATTAACACTGCCAAATGTAAAAAGAACTATTTTCAGTGGAAGAACATGAAACTGAGACATCAAATTGCTATTCAGTTTTAAATTTTATTTTACCCTATCCTTTATTTGCTTTGCATCTTGGTATCTGTACCTTCCTATCTATTTCTAAAAGACAAACAATACTCTAGGGCTCATGATCATGCACAGGAACTCTGAATAAGGGATGCTGTAATTTTTAATTGAAGTTCTGGAAAATTAATTGTGCTTGTTTTCCAGATGTTGGTCTGATTGTTGGTTTAATAATGAAATCTATGGGAGTACATTATTTAAAATGAAATTATAATCACCCACTGGTAAATGCTTATTACATTATTATGTATTTTTTAGTTAACATCTGCTCTTCCAGGAAAAGTTGAATAACTCTGAAACTCTGTATACATAGAGCATGAAGTGTAAACCATTTTCTTTAGCAATTTGTCCTTACAATTTTCTTAATGATTAGAGAGGAACTAACATTCTGAGTGTGTGTGTGGATATATGAAACTCACATGAAACTTTTTCTGAGAACTAGAGACTGATTGTGCAAAGGCTGAAAACAAAAAGAAAACAGATTTTACTTTTGCAAACTTTCCAAATGAAAAAGGATTGAGAAGCTTTTCAATTGCTTTTTTAGATTTTCAGTGTTACCCTTTACTTGATGTTTCTGAAGCAGGTAAATAGGCAAGTAACAAATATCAACAACAGCAGCATACAAAGATCAGGGAACTCTGGCAGAATTTTATGGCTTGTGCTTCCATGCCTTGTCCGGAGCCAAATGACCCCCATACATCAAATTACATAGCAGTTTCTAAGACAGAACCTATTATCATTATGTGGGAAGGAGAGTTCAAGCCGTGGTCATGGAGATGAACGCTGGTTTTTCAGGTTCCTGGTGGGTTGTTTTTTTCTCTAATCCATCATGTTTTAACAGGTAGAATTTGATAGTTGTCCTGAATAACAGCACCTCAGAAAGTCCAAATCAGAAGGGTCTGGGAACCTCCAATAACTGAGGAAAAGACATGGGGTGGTTTGCTGTGAAGTGTTTTGAGAAATAGGGGGAGCAAAAGAGCAAAGAACTATCCAGGGTTTGAGTTGTGACTTGCTGGATGGGGGTGTTGTTGGTCCCCCCAACACACACACACACACACACACACACACACACACATCTTTTCCACTCAGTTTTCTCTTCCCCCTTTTTGGCCACAAGGAGCTCATTTGGAGGACGTGGGCCCTATTCCTGAACAGGGGTAGACTTTACTGCCCAACAAGCTCAGCTTCTGAAATCCAGCACGAGCTAATAGGGTAATTAATTAAAATTCTTTTTAATGCAAACCTCTTTTGCAGACAGGAAGGGCCAAGAAAGAACTCAATGGGAAGTCACCCCATCTCAGTGCTGTTTTGGCAAGTATTAGTCCTAAAGCAGGGATTGAAGAAAAAACTGGTGACCCAGGCTTCTTGTCAGTTCCCCAAGATCCGCAGAGAGGAGTCTCGTGTCCTCTGGATGATGCCAAAGAGAGGAGATGGAGGGATAACCACGTTTCTTCTTCCCTGGAAAAGATCCCAACCTTACTCTTTCTAGCCTACCATGCCTCTCTCCTTTTGGACCTGGGCTCCAGGGACTCGGCTTCCAGCCCTCACTCATTCTCCTCTGTCCCCGGAAAATCCCCCAACTCCAGACGCAAGTTAAGCAAATATTTGTATCTGCCAGTAAATTCCAGCGGCTTTTTATAGCGCGGCTCCCTGCGCCCGGGGCCAAGTCGTGCTGCTAAATATTGCTGACCACTTTTTCTTTTATGGCTTTCATGTCACTTAGCTATTGAGAGTAAGATGGATTTGCGCAGAGCCCTCACCGCGCTGCGCTTCTCCCCCCCCCCCAGGTCTGCGTGGGGCGGCCATTGGCGGCGGAGCGTCACGTGACCGCGGGGGCGTGCCAATGTGCGCCCTCACGGGTGTCAAGCCCTGGTCAAGAGTGTGCGATCAAGATCCTGAAACAACGCGATGCAAAAAACGACCTACTACGACAGCTCAGGGATCTACGGTGGCTACCCCTACCAGGCAGCCAACGGGTTCGCTTATAATGCCAGTCAGCAGCCCTACACGGTGCCTGCCGCTCTGGGAGCCGAGGGCGAGTACCACCGACCGGCCTGTTCACTTCAATCACCCGCCAGCGCGGGGGGCCATCCCAAGGCACACGAGCTGAGCGAAGCGTGTCTACGCACCTTGAGCGGCCCACCTAGCCAGCCCCCAGGCCTAGGCGACCCTCCCCTTCCCCCACCGCCGGCCCAGGCAGCACCACCTGCCCCGCAGCCACCCCAGCCTCCACCGCAGCCCCCTGCGCCCACTCCTGCAGGCCCCCCGCCCCCCTCTTCTGTTTCCCCTCCTCAGAATGCCAGCAGCAATCCCACCCCAACCAACGCAGCCAAGAGCCCCCTGCTCAACTCGCCCACCGCGGCCAAACAAATCTTCCCCTGGATGAAAGAGTCGAGGCAAAATACAAAGCAGAAAACCAGCGGCTCCAGCTCAGGTAAAGGGGTACTTTCTGAAGGAGGGTCCTCTGGCTTGACTCCAGGCCCCAAAATTTAACCACAACAGCACAGTTTGGGAGCACTGGAACATTTCCAGAAATTCACCCCCCCCCCCAAAAAAAAGGTTTTCAGGATCTTTGCAACTTAGGGAGATAAGGCCTTTGTGGGCCAAGAAACTCCAGAGACCTGATGAGAGTCTCCCTGGACCTCTCCAAGGACAAGCATAGCCTAGTGGAGTTGGAGTCTCTCATTTCACTTCTGAAGTTTTGATCTCTGCAGAGACATCCTGAGCTCCACTATCTCTCTTTAGGCACAGCTCCTTTATTCTAATGAAGCAGTGATATCCTCCGCATACTGAAATGTGCAGAGTAAAAGCAGGCCTAATCATCCTCCAAATCAGAATCAATGCTTTGTCTATCATCAGAGCCAATTTTTGCTCCAGCAGATGGAGTGGCTGCCTTACCTCTGGGAAGGCTTTGCTCGGACTTAATACAAGGAAGTCAGCACGGGGGTGGGGGTTAGCTTGTCATCCTAATGGGAACCACATGGGCCTCCTGAACTGGACTGTAGTGGAGGAAAGTTCCCCAGGCCCCCCCCTTTTCCTAGCATCTAGGTTACCTTTGCCCCTGTCTTTTCCATTTGCCAGTACTCTGCTCTGAGCTTGAGCATCTGGGCCCTCCAGAGCCAGGATTGGGGAGGAGGAGGTAGGAGAATAGGAGTGGTGGGCAAAGGTTTAGCAGGCTGCTGGATGACAAAGGAGCTCTAATGACTACAGCCCCTTTGAGGAGGCTGGGTCTCTACAACAAAAATAGATATCTTCAACAAGACCCTTCCTTTGGCCAGAGAAGGCCTTCCAGTTTGGGGTTTCCACGCTGCTCCTCCTCTCCTCTAGGTAGATTTTTAAGTTGGCAAGTGGAAGCTACTGTCTAATCAATTTAGACAGTGAGAGAGGAAAAGAAGGTTTGAGTGTGTGCCTTAGGGGACTCACATTTTAGTTACTGTGAAGGGAATAAAGATGTGAGACCTGCCCACAGGAAGCTTCTTGTTTAATGGATCTAGAGAACCAGTAAATGAGAAAGTGAGTAACTCCAGAGAGGAAATAGAGACGAAGAATAAACTGGGTGTTCTGCTTTTCTGTTCTTTCAGCCTTGGAGAAGCCTATAATTTGCTCTTTAGCTGAATGAAATACTAGCTATTTATACTGTTTTCCCATCCAGGAGACAGGACAGCATCTATTTCCTACTCCTGTCTGGGCCCTAACAGCAGAAGGGATCTGTAGGATCTGGAGAAAGGAAGGGCCAATCTGGGTCAGGAGCGGCGCGGAGCCGCAGGCAGCCCCTGACGCCGCTCTTCCTCTCTGTCCTGGCAGGCGAGAGCTGCGCTGGTGACAAGAGCCCACCTGGGCAGGCTTCGTCCAAGCGCGCGCGCACGGCCTACACGAGCGCACAGCTGGTGGAGCTGGAGAAAGAGTTCCATTTCAACCGCTACCTGTGCCGCCCGCGCCGGGTGGAGATGGCCAACCTGCTGAACCTCACCGAGCGCCAGATCAAGATCTGGTTCCAGAACCGCCGCATGAAATATAAGAAGGATCAGAAGGGCAAGGGCATGCTGACGTCATCGGGGGGCCAGTCCCCGAGTCGCAGCCCCGTGCCCCCCGGCGCGGGCAGCTACCTGAACTCTATGCATTCGCTGGTCAACAGTGTTCCATACGAGCCCCAGTCGCCCCCGCCTTTCTCTAAGCCTCCCCAAGGCGCCTACGGGCTCCCTCCCAGCTCCTACCCTGCGGCCCTGCCCAGCTGTGCGCCCCCACCGCCCCCACAGAAGCGCTACGCACCGGCGGGGGCAGGCACTGGAGGCACCCCCGACTATGACCCGCAGGCTCACAGCCTGCAGGGCAACGGCAGCTATGGGACCCCACACTTACAGGGAAGCCCCGTCTTCGTGGGGGGCAGCTATGTGGAGCCCATGAGCAACTCTGGGCCGGCACTCTTCGGCCTAACTCACCTCCCCCATGCATCCTCGGCAGCCATGGACTACGGGGGCGCCGGGCCATTGGGCAGCGGTCACCACCACGGGCCAGGGCCAGGGGAGCCTCATCCCACCTACACGGACCTTACAGCCCACCATCCTTCTCAGGGAAGAATTCAGGAAGCGCCCAAGCTCACCCATCTGTGATGGTGGGCTGGAGCTGCGTGCCAGGAGAGTCCCCCCCTCGCCCTTCCTTTTCTTTCTTTTTCTTTCTTGTTTTAGGTTCTTCCTGCCCCTCCCTTTTCCCCTTTCCCCGTTTTGTTCTCTTCGGTAATGCATTTTTATAGTTTATGTGACGTAGCAATCTTGGTTGCTGGAATGGCTGTCAGTATCAGTAGCGATATTTATCCCTTCCCACCCCTCGCTCCGCCGCTGGCCCTGCACCCTTTATCTCCTTCACTCTTTGATCAGAAACAGGGTATATGAACAAATTTTCTAGTCTAGTTTTCAATGTGAATTTGTTCGTACTTTATGGCTCCCGAGGGGAAGCAATTACTTTTTTTTTTAAATTTTGTTTTTTAAATTGCACTTCTTGTAAAGAGCGAGAAAAAAAAATCAAAGGCGCTTTGAAACAGGGGCTCCCTGTGCAAGGATGACTAAGTGTACGTCTTTCCGTGTGTGTATGCTGGTGAACAGTCAGATTTATTTATATTTTTTTTGCAAGCATTGAATAGTCTAAGTTTTAAATATTATTTATCCCCATCCGTTCGTATTTATATTAAAGAAATTCTGTACCCTGGTTGTTCAGAAGGTTTCTTGGGCCTTTTGTTCAATGGTGTATTGGCGTACATATAAAATTTTTTATTTCAAAGGGAAATATAATTCCTTTATGAAAACGGTAATGATGCAATAAAACCATAGAGGATCCAGCGTTTGAAAACAGTGACTTAGGTTTGTAACATCCGGCAAAACTGAAAAAAAAAATCTGTAAACATGAAAAATGCTAGATTTGTTTTGAGAGTTCTACATTCCTTGCTGCTCACATTCTGAAAAACGAAACAAAAAAATAAAAGTTTTTATTCTGATTAATATCCGTGCTGAAAAAGGGTTCTTTGGCTGAAGACGTGGTCTGCGTGGAACTCAGGCAAAGGCGAACTGGCTGAGTAGGCCGCAGCAGGCAGCCCTGCGACTCCGCCGCGGGGCCCGGCCAGGCGGCTCTCCTGGAAGTTCCGCCAATTCTCGGGAAGAAGCTGCGGTTCCGGCAGCAGCAGCCCTGGAAACGCCACGCGGCCGGCCCGCTGCGCAGTCTGGTTTCCAGCTGCTGTGGAGGCAGGCGGAGGGCGCAAGGGCTTCGGGAGTGCAGTGTTCCGCAGAAACAAAGGCAGCCTTCCTCGAGGCGCGGCGGGGGTCGCACAGGTGCCCCGAGGCCCCGGGGAGAGATAATGCTGGGCGGTCCTCTCCTCCACGCTTTTCCTCAGGTCTCAGCCGACCAGTCTAAGCCAGAGCTCTCGCAGAGGATGCTGAGCACTTTCCACAGTTGGTCGAATTCCTGGTCTCCTTCGAGGATGTTTCTCGATCCATTATCGTGCCAGGATAAAAGAATCGCTCTCAAAATCGCCACATGGAGCTAAAGGAACTGAACTTTTCTAGGTCTCCAGCAAAAGGAAGGGTGAGCTCAGGAGTTTCCTTGAGCCCTTTCTTGGACTGCCTGTATCCCAGCATCAGTTTCCTCCTGGAATTTAGCATTTGACATTCTCTGGGTTTATTTCCTCTCCTTCCCTCCCAGCTTTCTTTTTATGGCCCCAGGGGGAGGGAGAGAGAGAAAGGAGATTGGTATCTTTCTAATAAAAATGCAATTGTATAAGTACTTCTTTCATTTGATGCTACAGGAGCTAAATATTACATTTCCACTCCTGTATTTAAGATAGGGTTGCTTACTGACTGGCTGGCAGAGGCAAAGGCAGTCACAGTGGGAAATATTTCCATCTTCAAATTAAAGAATGACTCAGAGAAGGAACCAAATTCAGAAAATGCAAATCTCAGTGCTGCATCCCCATCATCAGCCCCCCCTCAGAGGAACCTTCTGTATTTGGGGGATCAGGAGCACCTGATGTAAGAAATTAAGCCCCCATCCTTCCTGGATTGTATCTTTCAGAGGCAGAAGTGAAAATGTCGCCATTTTGTTTGCAATCCAAAATATTCATCATCATGGCCTCTTAACCCCCCCCTCCCCCACAGCTCCCTCAGAGGATCCTTAGAAGCAGACTCAGAAGATGTTTCTGGGTACCTGCTGCATCCCAATGCACTGATTTTAGGGAAGCTCCACGTTTTAAGAAAAAGGAAAAGGGTCTAAGGAGGATGCAAAGGCAGCCAGCTGCAGAGAGCTGGGTGTTTCTCTCACACCCAGAGGTGCTTTCCCCACATTTGTTCTGCAGTTCCTGATATGTTTTCTCTTCAAAGAGTTTGGTCTATGGGGGAAATTGATTTGCTTCCCCCATCTCAACCTCCCTCGAAAATATGGTGCCCACCAGAGAGGTTGGAAATCTGGTCTTTGTGAGAACTACAGCCTCTACCTCTTGGTCATTCATACTGGGCAGATCTGGAAGTCTTCTTTTTAAGTAAGCATTTTAGAAACATATATAAAATAACCTGGAAAATAAGGAGTACTATCTCTAGGGAAGGAGGGCATGGGGGGAGTAAGAAAGAAGAAGAGAGTGAGGGAAGAGAGAGAGAGAGAGAGAGAGAGTGAGAATGACAGAATGAGAATGAATCTCTATCCAAAGATTAAACTCTTTCAGAGATACCACTATTTGAAACCATTTCTAAAATCTACTCTTTAGCTGAGGGAAGAATGGTTTAGAAGCTTCCTCCTTTCCTCAGGGCAGATATTGTAAAATGAGATTCTAATATGATTTCCCATATCTTGCCAGTCAAGACATTCATTTTGGCTTTCAAAGAAAAAAATACTGATTTCACCCCCAGCTTCCTAGATATTAAAAAGAAATCCTTATTAAAATATCTCCTGAGTTAAAGTAATAGATTTGGGGAAGATTTCAATGTTGAGCAGTCTCAGAAAGAGGTTTTCTTCCAGATGGTATTTGAATTAAGGCAGCTGAGGCAGGCAGAAAGCTCTCACCCACGCAGCCCCTGACAAAGCCCAGTAATCTGGAGGCAGCACTGCTCCCTCTCCGAAACTCTCCTCCCTTTCACCCCTCAATATTTTCTAGTAAAAGCTAAGGCCCAAAGCCCACTATCCCAGAATCTGCAAAGCACCTTTCCTAAAAGCAGCCCTAGAACCCTTTCCACTGCCAAAAAATGTCTTTTAAAAGACTAGTTTTCCTTGTTTACTTGCGTTTCCTGCTCTCCTCTTTGCTCGGACACATTTGATCTTGGAAAGAGCTCGAAGCTGAAATGTGTTCTTAAGGGCCAGAAGCTGTCAAGGCTTTTGGTGAGAAAGATTGATCGCACCCAGACTTCCTTCAGAGCTTTGTTTGGAATAAAAGCAAGAAAACTGAAAAACTTCACATTTTCCAAAATACCATCTCTATCTGCAAGGCAAAGCTCTGGGCTGGTCAAAGTTGGAGGCCACTTTATATCTCATTTTCAACTCAAATCTCCTTCAATGCAGGGCTCAGAGATGGAGTCTTGCCCTTGCTTCTTGGTCAGCCTTTCTTGATTTCTGCGTATTTTTCTCCCCCACCAACCTCTCTCTCCTTGGCCATCAGAATGATTTATTTTCCTGCCATTGATGCCTGCCGGCCAGGAGAAGTCTGATCACTTGGTCCATTTCAAAAGAAGCAAAAGCGAATCACCATCCTCAGGGTTGGGGGGGGGGCGGAAAGAGGTACCTTCAGAGCTCTCTGACTCTCTCTTCCTCTTCCCCTTTTCTTTCTGGCTTGATGGTTTTAAGGTAATTTTTTGGTACCTAAAAGTGTTATTGTTTGAACCCTCCAGCACTGTCAGTCTCAAGTCTCGGAATTGGGAAAAGAGAGAAAGAAGAAGAACCTTTATAATTCCTCTTTGGGTCGCCCTCTCCCGGCAGTGTTGTTTCCCACGACAGAACCCGGGTGCAAACCTCTCTGGTGCCCAAGGAATAGGAAGGTGTGAGAAGCAATTCAGACTGCCAAGGAGCACTTGCCGCATCTCAGCCAACCAGCCCCCAACCAGAGCGACAAGGACAAGAAGGGTAGGGAGAGAAGAAGGGAATAAGCGACTTCTCCCTTCCTGCTGATAACTTCCACCAGACTTCCTGGAAATCGGAAATACTCACCACACCCGAGCCCTAAGGGTATGAAACCCAGAAAGCCAGAAGCCGCCTGCGCCTGCTCAGGGCGGCATTTCTCTGGCTGGCCGCCGCCCTGACTACGGGGATTTGGACACATGGACCTGGTCTTGCTGTCTCTCTGGGCACATGCATCTATCTTTCTCCAGCCACTCCTGAGAAGTTGATGGCGCAGGGAGGTCGAGAAGCTTCGGGAGCCGCCTCCCGTTTTCAGCTTCCCGCCGGAGTCAGATGCAAAGCCGCCGTGGAAAAGCCGGCTAACAATGGGCCGGGGGCGCGGATTCCAGGCTGGACACTGAGAGGGGGGCGAGGGGCTGCGGGGGGGGGGAGGAGAGGGGGATAGAAGAGAATGGGAGGGGGAAAGGGGAGAGGAGGAAAAAGAGGGAAAGAAAGAGAGAGGAAGGAAAACAGACAGAGGAGGGAGGGAGAGAGAGAGCGATATCAGTTCTGAGATCCAGTTACTGGTTTTTAGGAAAATTAGAGGAGGAAAGGGAAATAAAAGGGGAATCCCCCAATCTATCTCCTCTCTTTTCTTGCTCCTTCTCTCTCACCCTTCCTCTCTTTCTTCCTCTCTCGCTTCCTCTCTCCCTCTGTTCCTTCCTTCTGCCTTAACAGAACTTATGTGGCTGGGATTCCGGGGCCCTCGGGTGTCAAAACTTTGAAGATTAATGGATTACTTTGTTAATGACTGCAGGCGTCAGAGTGAGGTGCTTAAATGATTTGTGAGGTGCGAGGCGTCTTCCCGACAGTCCCAAACAATGCGCGGAGTGTGCGGGGGAGGCAGAGGGCAGCCGCTGGAGGGACCGGCAGCCAGGCTCTCACTCGCACACTCCCAGGCGCCCACACTAGGTCCTCGCGGATCAGGAGGCAGGCAGGCACCCTGGCCCCCGGGCACTCCTGGGCACTCCCCCCCACACCCGTATATATGTATTTTTGCCATGAAAAAAGTGTAAATAAAGCCTCTCTGGCCCCCAATGAGGCGTTCCTTCCCGACTTTTTTGGATCAATCAAACAGACAGTGGCTTCTTTTGATTAAAGCCCAAATTGTCATTGGGCAGAAGCAATCATGTGACAGCCAATTCGGTCCAATTTCAACCTTGTCTCCATGAATTCAATAGTTTAATAGTAGCGCGGTCCCCATACGGCTGTAATCAGTGAATTAGAAAAAAAACACCCCAGCAGCGATCTTCTATGATAGATTTTTTTTTTCCTCCGCGCTCGCCTTTTTCCTGGGCCTTGCCCCCCCAAAGCCCCTCCAAAAGAGGGAACTTTTTCTCCGAGGGGGCTCCAAGGAGAAGGCCATGAATTACGAATTTGAGCGAGAGATTGGTTTTATCAATAGCCAGCCGTCGCTCGCTGAGTGCCTGACATCTTTTCCCCCTGTCGCTGATACATTTCAAAGTTCATCAATCAAGACCTCGACGCTTTCACACTCGACACTGATTCCTCCTCCTTTTGAGCAGACCATTCCCAGCCTGAACCCGGGCAGTCACCCTCGCCACGGCGCTGGCGGCCGCCCCAAGCCGAGCCCCGCGGGCAGTCGCGGCAGCCCGGTGCCCGCCGGCGCCCTGCAGCCGCCCGAGTACCCCTGGATGAAGGAGAAGAAGGCGGCCAAGAAAACCGCTCTGCCGCCCGCCGCCGCCGCCACCACCGGCCCTGCCTGCCTCAGCCACAAAGGTCAGTCCAAAGACTTGGCCCCAGGTCCCCCGGACCCCCTTGCCCCTCTGGGCTGCCCTGAGAGCGGGTATGGGGGAGGGGAGCCTGGGCTGGAAGAGAAGGGGGAGTGGGAGAGATGCCTGGCTGCCTTTTCCCTGCCCCTATGGGCTCAGGAGTGGGTTTGATGGAGAGGAAAGGGATCCTGCGCTCCACAATGAGACATATATATTTTTAGGAAGGGGGGGGGGGAACTTTCCCTAACTTGTGTAATGTGGGATGATTTATTTGAGTTGGAACTGACCTCCTCTTGTCTAGTTGTCCTAGAGTTTGGCTTTTTGACAGTAATGAAGAGTGATAGATCGCTCTTGCTCAGCTAAGCAGCTGATGCATTAATTATAAATTGTGTTGTGGCTAATATAAAGTTTGCTCCCGGATGAAGAGGTTGGGGGAGCCACAGACAGGAATTTGATAGAGGTGGAAGAGATGGGGCTTCCCCAGGCTGGGCTCCCAGGAAAGGCAGCACAATAGCTCTACTGCATCCAGGGGCGGCCATTTTGTTGCAGTTGATCTTTTCTGCTATATTTATTCTCCAGTGGAATAACCCCGCTCGGACCCCTCCACCTCCAACTGTGCGTGTGTCTCTTGTTGGTTTCCCTTTCCGCAGAATCCCTGGAAATCGCCGATGGCAGCGGCGGGGGATCGCGGCGCCTGAGAACTGCTTACACTAACACCCAGCTTTTAGAGCTGGAAAAAGAATTTCATTTCAACAAGTACCTTTGCAGACCCCGAAGGGTGGAGATTGCAGCGTTGCTGGATTTGACCGAGAGACAAGTGAAAGTGTGGTTTCAGAACCGGAGGATGAAGCACAAGAGGCAGACCCAGTGCAAGGAGAACCAAAACAGCGAAGGGAAATTTAAAAGCCTTGAGGACTCAGAGAAAGTGGAGGAGGACGAGGAAGAGAAGTCACTCTTTGAGCAAGCCCTCAGCGTCTCTGGGGCCCTTCTGGAGAGGGAAGCTTACACTTTTCAGCAAAATGCCCTCTCCCAGCAGCAGGCTCCCAATGGACACAATGGCGACTCCCAAAGTTTCCCAGTTTCGCCTTTAACCAGCAATGAGAAAAATCTGAAACATTTTCAGCACCAGTCACCCACTGTTCCTAACTGCTTGTCAACAATGAGCCAGAACTGTGGAGCTGGCCTAAACAATGACAGTCCCGAGGCCCTCGAGGTCCCTTCTTTGCAGGACTTTAACGTTTTCTCCACAGATTCCTGCCTGCAGCTTTCAGATGCAGTCTCACCGAGTTTGCCAGGTTCCCTCGACAGTCCTGTAGATATTTCAGCTGACAGCTTTGACTTTTTTACAGACACACTCACCACAATCGACTTGCAGCATCTGAATTACTAAAAACATTAAAACAAAACAAAGCATCACAAAACAAAAACCCCTTTGACCAGGTGGTTTTGCCTTCTTTTATTCCGGGAGTTGGTTTTTATTTTATTTTTTATTTCCCCCATCCCTCCTTTAAATGGTGAGGCTTCTCTCTTCAGTGATTCCCCTGACTCAGTTTTAGAGCCATCTCTTACAGTTTATGTTGGAATTTTTGTTGTTTTAAACCTATCCAACAACCATCTATGTGATTTTCCTGAAAACAATATATGAGGCCTGCAAGAAAGTGATCGTAAATTGTATGATCACTTTCTTTTTATTTTTGTATTACATTAGGATGCATTGTCATGCGTATTTTTGGTAGAATAAATTCTCCTTTGCTATAAGTAACTTTCTTATTTTTTTCTCCCCCTCTTTCTTGAGGCTCTTAATGGTTTCTTTTTTCTTTTTAGTCTAATTTGGTAAATAAAATTCTGGTCACAATTTATCTTCTTTTTCAATTTTAATATATTAATGTTAAGGTGGCATGTTTAAAGTCTTCAATAGAGAGCAACAAAGAAAGCCAGAAAATGGCTAGGGCTTCTGACAAGTGGCTTTTGTTTTTTGGCTTTTGCTTTTATTTTTTGAAGGAAATGGATTTTGTTTTTTCATGTAGAGGCTCAAGCCATAGATTTAAAATAGTAATAGAAACAGGATTGGGCAGCCTAAGAATTGGGCCAATCCCAAGCTTTTTAAAGTGGAGAAATAAAGTGCCTACAGAAACCCCCAGCTCTAGGAATGAGTAAAGTGGAGTTTCTTGAACAAGCTACCAGTCTCCAGGTCAATAACTAAGTTATCAACAATTCATTTATTTATACACGTTTGTTTGAAACATCTACATTCCGACCCCTCCCCCACCCCCACCCCCAGCCCCAGCCCGCGCACATTTTCCGTGTGGTTGATTAATCGCCCAGCTGTTGATGGCTTCAGGCAAAACAGACCTAAAAGATAGAGAAAAACAAAAACAGAACAATGGTTACTAGCTGCAAAATGCATGTCAGAAGGGTTCTTTCCAATTGCCTGTTCAGTCATTCTAGGATTCCTTTTTTTTCAGGGTCAGAAAAATCAATATTTCATTCTTAAATCTGTTTACATTGCTAATAATGGATCATTAAAGCTTTGAAGTCAGGTTAGCAAGTTGAGATTTAAAATGGGAGTGTTTCTGCACCCTAGATTATATATTAACCCAGTTTCTTAGACAGCGAAAGAGAAGAAGCACTTTAAATGAAATATCAATAAAATGTGATCTAGGGTGTGTTACTGAGCTGTTTCTTCCCCCTTCTTGTGTTTCCCCATGTTTATTTTTCCCTTTCTGAGCTCTGTTCTGAGGGCTACTACTTACCGTGAGAAAATGCAGCAACATGTGTGTGTGAGGCGAGTTAGGAACCCAGCTCTTAGCAGCAAAGCCTTGCACGTTATAACGCAAAAGCGATCTTTCTTCATGTGTTTGCTCCCTACCTTTTCTCACCCCTTCCTTCACCCGCTAAATTCCGGCAGCGGCTGCATTGCATGGGGACCGCAGCCGGTTTCTGGCCCAGGCTCCGCGCCGAGCAGGGCGTCCCGGCTGCGGCCAGGGCTGCGCCGCTCCTGGATGCAATTCGTTCTAAGCTCATAAATCAAACGCTTTCTATGAATGAGAATGTCATCAAAGAGATCAATTGCAGGAACACATGCACAAATAAAAATCCTCTTACGTATTTGCCGGGGATCCCCGTCCGAAAGCATTAAGTTAGAAGGCGTTTAGTCATAATTCATTTTTATTGCTCTTTTAAAACAACAGCTTGGCTCAGCCGCGGATGCCAGGAACAGCTCGGGGCCTCGGCGGCGTTTTGTCTCTTCGCTCGCTCCCTCTCTTTCTAGTGGAAGAGCCCTCTAAGAGGCGCTTTGAGCCGAGAAGCGGTTGGCAGACGGTCATTTTAATCGTGACTAAGGTTGTCTTTCTCTCCTGGGGCGATTAGAGACTTGAGCTCGAGTCTTGGGTCCCTGCCTTACTTTCCGAGAGGACCAAGGGTCCCCTGCTCGCCAGAATGCCCCCTAGGGTTCCTCGGGAATGGGGGCTGGGGAAGGATCCAAGCTACCAGAGCTTGCGTGCTCAAGGCCAGGGGAAAGCTATCTCAGTGAGCCGCTCCGGGAGAGAGGCTCCCTGGGCAGCCACCGTGGAGGGGAGCAGGCTGGGCTGCGAATGTTGGGCGGCGGGAAGCCGCTCGTAGAGGCGGGTGGGTGGTTGGCCTGAGTGTGAGTTTGAGATCCCAAAGAAAACACCCCACCTAGGCTCTCCAGAAAAGAGGTCAGGAGAAAGAGAGGTGGAGGGAGAGGAGTGTAGAGGCCAAGAACTGACAGAGGCGAGAGAGCCGCTGAGGCCTGGGGGGGGGGGGGGTGGTGAGGGGGTGGCCTTGTGGCCGGCGTCCTGAGGTCTGGGGGGTGATGGTGGTGCGTACATGCTGCCGAAGAGGCCCCCAAAGGGCGTGAAGGAGATTGGCTTGTTTGGAGAGCAGATCGCCTGCATTGTCAGCACTGACCCACTCACATCTTGCCCCTGCCCCACAGGAGCACTTTCCCCATCGCTGGAGGCCTGGCCCTCTCAAAGAAGCCGCCTCCAGGAGGGCCTTCTTGCCTTTCCTCCTTCTCCGGATAAAGTTCCCCAGGAGCTGAAACTGGGGTGTGTGTGTGCACGCGTGCGCACGCAGGGGGTACAATGGGGGATGGGACAGGGGTAGTGCTGGTGGTGGTGGGTTTGCAGCCCGTGCGCCCTATTAACTATGCTTGGGGTAGGTCAAACGTCACTGTGAAATATTCCAAAAGGAAATGTTTAAGGAAAAAATTTATTGATATTGAGATTGAGGGAGTCTAGCGCCAAAGGTCTGCTGCATAGACTTTCCCTCTTGATTGGACAGGTTTTGAGGGAACTTCTGTATGTGGAGTACAGAACACAGAAGCCTGAAAGGGTGACCAGCACATTTGAAACGTGTCTGCGTTTTCCTAATAGCGAAGGGGAAATGGGGGGAGCTGGAATCCCAAACCCACACACACTCCTCACTATTAATTTCATCTGTCTGATCTGATGTTGCAAAGTAAAATCTATGCAGCTTTGGCTACAAGCTTCTTAGATAATCTCTGGATTTTTCCTACTTAAGAATTCGTCGCTTCTCAGACTCTGGCCTTTTCTCACTACAAGCCCAGGGGTGACAAAAAAACTAATAGTAAACAGCAGTTAACAACTCCAGCCACATCACTGTAGGATGAGAGTGACGGAGAACAGGACCCCTGCCCCGGTATGACACTCAGAATTGCACTTGTCTCTCTAGGGAAAGACTTGAGGGTTCACACAAGCCACTACACAGTCCGTTGGAAATGGTGGGAGATATTGTTGAGGAAGAAGAAAGTGTCTCGTTCACCCTCAGCCATCTGTCCACCGCCCCTTCCACCTGCCAGCCCCCATCCCCTCCAGACGTACAGTAGACCGCGGAGGGGGGTAGGCGTTGGAAAGAGGCGGCTCTCCTACTCCTAACATTCCCTTCCAGAAAACTAGAAACGTGACGGGCGGGAGTTCGGCACACTTTGCAGGAGCCGTGGTCTGACCCAGTGAGGCCTGTGCCAGAGCGCGCAGGCTCTGGGGTTCTGAGGAGCCGGCAGATGGCCTGCAGCTCAGCTCGGCCCGGCCCCCACGCTGCCCACGTCTGCTATCGTCACCGCCCCCCTCACCCCCGCCTCCTACCCCTCAAACTGCAGCCCAGTAGCTCCGGATCCCGGAGGAGAAAAGCTGAGTGGGGAGGAAAAGGGGGCGGAGGGCGAGGCAAGAGGGAGGGCCGAGAAGAGCCCGGCCGAGCTAGGCCTTTTCCAGCCAGCTCCAAAACAGGCGCTCGCCCTCCCCGGGAGTCGAATTACAGAAGCTCCTCATTGCCATGCTAATGGCGATCGGGGGTTAGGGAGACCCTCCTGGGAGAAGGGAAGTTTCTTTTCTCGCTCTCTTCCCCTCCACACCCACCGGCTTCCCCCTCAGACCCTCTTCTGTGCCCTGCCCTCTCCATTTCGAGCTTGGAGAGCCTCGCACTCCGCCATCATTCTCTGAGCTCCTCACAATCCCACGACCTCACGGCCGGGGCGGTCCTGGGCCGCTCCGGGGCCCGATTTCCACCCTTCCCGCCAGGCGCGCGCCGGACTCAGCCGGGGTAGTAGCGGCCACCCCACGGACTCTGGCCCCCCGATTCCCGCCCCAGGAGGGTCGGGAGCCCTCTGCCCTTCTCACCTCTTTCCGAGCCCGGCAGGGAGGGGGGCGGGGACGGGGGGGGTGTGATGCCTCCCAGCCCCCGCCTCCCGGAGTGGGGGCGACCGGTGTCGGGCGCGCGCAGAAGGCAGCCTCGGCTCCCCTAGGCCCCAGCGCTCCAAATCTGCCATCGCAGCCGCCGCAGCTGCCGCCGCCGCCGCAGCTGCCTGGGGGGGCGACTGCGCGTCACCTAGGCGGAGGAGCGCCAGGGATTTAAATGCCACTGAAACGGTGATCCATCACCGCCGGAGCCGGCAAACTTTCGCAGGAGGCTCAGGCATTGGCTGACAAAGTCACGTGCCCCTCCCCTAGCGCCCTCCGCCCTCCGCCCCCCCCTCTTGCGCACTGTACATTCATATCATTTTTCTTCTCCGGCCCCATGGAGGAAGTGAGAAAGTTGGCACGGTCACCCAGGGCTTCACAGGACACGGTCACTCAGTGACAGATGGACAATGCAAGAATGAGCTCCTTTCTGGAATACCCCATCCTTAGCAGTGGCGACTCGGGGACCTGCTCGGCGCGAGCCTACCCCTCTGACCATGGGATTACAACTTTCCAGTCGTGCGCGGTCAGTGCCAACAGCTGCAGCAGCGACGACCGTTTCTTAGTGGGCAGGGGGGTGCAGATCAATTCACCCCACCACCACCACCACCACCATCACCACCCCCAGCCGGCCACTTACCAGACTTCTGGGAACCTGGGGGTGTCCTACTCCCACTCGAACTGTAGTCCAAGCTATAGCGCGCAGAACTTTGGTGCGCCTTACAGCCCCTACGGGTTAAATCAGGAAGCAGACGTAAGTGGCGGGTACCCCCCGTGCGCTCCCGCAGTTTACTCTGGAAATCTCTCATCTCCCATGGTCCAGCATCACCACCACCACCAGGGTTATGCCGGGGGCTCGGTGGGCTCACCTCAATACATTCACCACTCATATGGACAAGAGCACCAGAGCCTGGCCCTGGCTACGTATAATAACTCCTTGTCCCCTCTCCACGCCAGCCACCAAGAAGCTTGTTGCTCCCCTGCATCAGAGTCATCTCCAGCCCAGACCTTTGACTGGATGAAAGTTAAAAGAAACCCTCCCAAAACAGGTCAGTCCTGCCGGACAGAGGATGCATCTCGTTGATTCAATAGGAGCTGGTTTGCTTAGTTTCCAAAACTATTAGTTTTTTTAAAGAAGGGTTCTTGCTTCTGGCTAGGGTTGTAGGGTGCAGGGAGTGTGGCCAGTGTATTGGGGGAAAGGAGTCTGTAGGACTGGTGTGTTTTCAAAGGGTGTGAGATTTAAATGTTCTGGATGTAGGAAGTGTGTGTGTGTGTGTGTGTGTGTGTGTAGTGTTGGTGGTGATGGTGCTCTGTTAATATCACCAGGTTCCATTAATCACTAGTCGTACCACGCTAATGACTGGCTTCAGGTTAACACTTTTCACCTCATCACTCAGCCTCCCCCGACCGTTTTGTGTTGAGAAGTTCATGATCTACCCTTTACCTGAATATTCTGAGGTGTGTAGGTGATGCCTATACATTTAAGTATTTTTACCTTGTTCTCTCTTCCCTTCCCACTTTACCTCAGGGAAAGTTGGCGAGTACGGTTATGTGGGTCAACCTAACGCTGTGCGCACCAACTTCACCACCAAACAGCTCACAGAGCTGGAGAAAGAGTTCCACTTCAACAAATACCTGACGCGCGCCCGCAGAGTGGAGATTGCCGCGTCCCTGCAGCTCAATGAGACCCAGGTGAAGATCTGGTTCCAGAATCGAAGAATGAAGCAAAAGAAACGTGAGAAGGAGGGGCTCTTGCCCATCTCACCGGCCACCCCGCCCGGAGGCGAAGAAAAGGCCGAGGAATCTTCAGAGAAATCCAGCTCCTCACCCTGCGTTCCTTCTCCGGGGTCTTCTACCTCAGACACTCTAACTACCTCCCACTGAGGCCGCCCCAGTCCCAGACTCCTGCAGCCCGGGGCTGGGATCCTTTACCCAAAGCACACTGTTAGCTTATCTTTCTTTCCATTTTCGGTCTTTCTTCCTTCCTGATCCTATCTGGGGAGCTTATGGCCAGGATAATATGTTTCCAGATCATTCTAGGCCAAAGACTCAGTAGGAGGTTAACTCCTGAATTCAGAATGGGTGCCAGCCTCAATTTCTGATGATCTCTAACATTGCTCTGCGATTTTTAGGAGATTTCCACAGAACCTGCTCTTCCTTTCAGATGTCCTTTGCTAGCAGAAACATGTCAGAGGGAGGCATCTCACCTTTTATCTCACTGTATTTACAGCTCTCCCTTACCTTGCCCTTAAAAGTAAAATATAGAGAAAGGAGAGAGTCCAGGAGCTCATGAAGAAGAGATGCACTATGAGTGTGTTTACACAATTAATTCATCTTTAATTTAATTAAGTTTCTTGTGTGTGAGTTTGCTGATTGTAAATACTTTGTCCTAAGAGATTTATCTTTATACAAGTTTTCTAGAGATGTTTAGATTAGGTGACTAAATCAGACAGGGTAGTCAAACTCTCAAAACTGGTACAATTTTATATGTAATTATAGGTGAAAGAATAAATTCCCTCATTTAAACCCAACCAGATGCTCAGATGGTAGCCTCAATTTCTTCTTTTGCTGAGTTAAGAAGGCCTGTAGAGCACAAGGTTTAGAAACCTGGCTTCCTGTGCTGAATCTCTCCCCAACTCTACCTACCCTTTTCTTCTTGTTTCCCTGGCCACCCTCCATTTAAAATTTGTGCTGGTTTATTCAGAACCTAAAGGTGTTACTCAAATCAACTTCTTTTCAAAGTAATCTTAGCTGAATATGGTGTATTTTCAGCTCAGTTGTTAATGTGATGGATGGCACAATGAATGTATATTTTGTGTGATTCGTGAATAGTCTTTTGCATGTCGCACAATGTTTTGATGTTCCTGAAGTATCACACTGAGTTCTATCAGTTTATTCTTTGTGAGCCTATGATATTCCTCATTTCCTGTACAATCATGAACAGCTCTGAGATCCTGAAGTGATGTGATCCAGAGCAAAATTTACGGGTCTTACAATGTCTGTAATAAATATATTCAAGTTTCAGGTATGTTTTAAGGATCTGTGTATTTGGGTGGGTTACAGTTTGTGGCTTCATACCATACACAGTTGGCTAATTTCATGTGGAAAAGAGAAGGATGATATGTGTTTCCAAAGAAGTGGGCCTTTTCTTGAATAAAAGGAAGTGCTTTCCATTATCATGCAGCTGAAACTTCCCCTATGAGTGTAATTTCACATAACCAATGTCTATTTAATGTATTGATTCTCCTTAAAATAACAACAGCTCCTTTATTACAATTGAAGTTTGTAATGAAAAAAAAAAGAATAGTGAAGAAATTTATGAAGCAGATCTATTTGTGAAACAAACATGGATACTTCCTGGGTCAAGTACTAACCTTTTCACCTCCAACTGAATGTTGACGTATATATAAACAGAGCCCCCTTCAAAAGCTGAAACTGTCTTCAGTCAGTCTTTCCTCACATCAGTGAACCAGGAGCGAAGAGATTCACATTTAATTAGCTCCAGTATAAAGCTCTTGTGAGGAGAGGCCCCACTCCACCCCTCTTCCTTCTTTTTGGGTTGTCAGGCAGTGTTCCAATATATTTCACCCTTTAAATTGAGTGCGGTCTTTTTTCAGTAAATCCTTGCATCCCTCCCCCATTCTTCCTGTCAGCATCCATCCTTTCCTGCTCCTTCTCACCCCCCATCTCTGGGTCACACATCTCATTCCCTTCAGACTCAGCTTCGATTTCATAGCCATCATGGCTGCACAAGGCTTACAGTTCTAATTTCTTGCCACATAGCCCTGAAAAAAAGTTTTCATTTTCTTTTCTGGGCTCAATAAGTTCTTTCAGAGGAACTGTGGAAGCTAGCTTGGTCTTTTAATAAACAAGTTATTTCTGACCAAAGCATGCCTCAGATCTGAAACAGAGGAGGCCAGCGAATGATAGAGTTCAAAGTGCTTCTCTTCCCAGACCTCTTGCCACTTTCCCTTTACTTTCACATATATCTGGAGGATTTGAGCCCCAAGAGCATAGCATAAATTTTACAGCATCCCAAACAAATACATACATATGACTTCTTTCCTTTCCAAAGGGTGTTTTAAAAGGATGGGCTGGGAAGAAAACGCTACAAAAACTTGGAATTTGCAGGTTTTCTAGAGCACCCATGAGATTTCCTGCACTACACTGTTACAGGGCCAAGCCCAGGCTCACAGGCACGGTTGCAGCGGCCATATCAAGGGTACCGGGTGCCCTCCCCTCAGTTGCTGGGTTCTGAGGTTGCCTCTAAAAGACTGAAGTGGATGGAGAACTTCAAAGACAGCCAAACCTTTCTTTCATTTCCCGCCTGGCCTTGTACTGTATCTTTTGTTTATTAGTGTAAGGCCACACAGCAAAACAGATGGCTGGTTTCCAAATACTTTAATGTGTTAAAGTGTCATTTGCATGCCATTGTCTTGATTTCAATATCTAAAAGCAGGGCCAACCCACTGGAATCCTAGGTGCTGGTTTTATTGTAGCTGAGAGGGAGAGGAAAACAATAAATTCTGCCTAAACCCTAGACTTCTTTAGGTCATGGAATAAATCAGTTAACAAGCAATGCATTTAGGAAACATTAATATACCTTTCAACAAGGAAAACATTTGTATCTTTTTTGCTGTCCCAATCGATTAAATCAAAGGCATTTAACACATCCTATTTCAAGGTCTCTCTCTTTCTGTTTCAGTCTCTGGAGAGCACAGTTAGCTCCTTAATGAAAGCAATTGTAACTGAAGCAGCATAAAGACGGAAAACAAAATAATATTTTATTGATAAGTTTAAGAAAAAAAACAGGGGTCTCAATTAGGGACCTGGATAATTGAAATATAAAATTAATTTTCACATCTTTTCTATTCACTTTCTGTATAGTCAACCAAAGTACTCCTAAAATTCAGAGTGTCCCCAAACTAGGCTCAGTTGAGATCTTGCTGTGACTCTGAAGTCTGCTCTGGGCTTCACCTTTGAAAGTTTACTTTTGGAGGCTATTCAGATGCAGTGGTGTTTTCCTCTGGGGCAATCAGATTCAAACCGATCAATATTTACTCAGTCTGAAAGGGTTGTTGAAAAGGCTGCTAACAACAAACTGCTTAGCTGCTCACCCCTGTTTAATCTCAGGTTCACTGAAAGTTCAAGAGATGAATGCAGTGATGGGTCACTTTAGAAAGAGTCCCAGCGGTTTATCTGAGCTCTCAGCTAA